CGGGCAGTGAAAGTCCACAGCTGGACATAGGCCTCTTCCATTGTAGGGGATCGGGAGGGCACATTTTTTTTTAAATATAAAATTGATGTGACAAACGCCCACTTAAATACAGTATTGTAGTTTCAATTATTGTTACATCTTAAAAAGTTCAATTTAGTTTAGATTGAAACTGGAAAAAATATGGAACAAGTTCCGATGAGGAAATTCTCTGCATCGTCATCGCGTTCCCAGGCTCCCCACCCAATCAAATTTAATTTGTTTTTCTTTCATTAGTTCGTAATAAGCATCAAATCGCCGCGGGATTAAAGGCATCCTGACATTGCATACCTTATTGAGACCTTAGTTCATTTGGTAAGTAAAACAAAGTATCACTTGTATTTATGTTATTGTTTATTTGTAATCAACATCCAAATTATTAATATGAGATAGTATTTCCCAAATTTTCCCAAATTAAAAAAAAAAACTAATAAAAATGATTAACACATGGGCGAATTGAGATTTTAGCTAAGCAAAAGAAAGATGTTACAAAGATCAGTCTTAATGCATTGAAAGATATTTAACGTATAAAATCATTATGCCGTAATTTTAAATTATTTTTAACATTTTCATGGCCTGACCTATACAACGACTTATATGCAATAACCACATTTATGTAAACAGTTTGGAAGGTTTTACTATAACATTAATCGTTATAAACGTACATAAATTACACATAAACAAACATCCAGACTCGGAATAATGTTTGTAGGCCATGCAAAAACTTGTTCTGTGCAACACTTGTACCCACGTTTTGAGGCGCCGCAGACAAATGTTTAAGCACTACGCTACGGAGGTGACAATATTGTTAAAACACATTTAAATGACGTTACATATAACCTGTGTTGAAATATCTACTACTCGATCGATAAAGAATGAGATTATAAATGGTGTCGACTCTATTCACGTCTCTTTTGCTCACTGTCACTATCTGTAATGAATATACCGTGTAGTGGTGGTGTAAGAATATCCACAACTCCGTATTATCAAGTATGTCTTTTCGTAAGAGGCGACATAGGGAAACAAATCGGCAGATAGTCAGCAGCGTCTTTCTAAAATAACGACTAAAAAAATAGCGAATAAAATCTGTTTCAGCTTTAGGTAGCATGTATGAAGCCCGCTTTTCACTATGGGATATAGTATAATATATATATTACATCTCGAGATATAAATTAATATCACTCACCATACATTTCATATGGAACCGTTTACACTGAGCTATAATATATATTACATCTCAAGCTATAAATATTTTTTCGATCGACCGAGCGATATTTTCATATTATATTTCGCCCCCTGTACCCCGCACACCTTCCGCTCCCCCGCAGAACGGTGTAGGGGGTAATCCAATGACCAATGACGAACGCACACTGGTTAAAAGATATATCTCACAGTGTGAAAGCCAATCGCGGGATATAATTTATATTTCGGGATATAATATATATTATATCCCATAGTGAAAAGCCAGCCTAAGTGACAGTACAGGTTATTTGATCCGCCAATTCTCTATCCACAATGGTAGTAAGTGTCAATTCAAATTACTACGACGTATATAATTCAAATTATCACTACGCACATTAATTTAATTGTATAACTAGTTGCAATTACACATTTATGTAATAAATTGGTTGGTATTGTATTGTTAAAAATTTTAATAAAATAAATGAATTATTTACATTACATTCCTTGACATAATTTGTCGAAATATTTACAAATTTAACTACAGTAGCCAAGACCGGATTAAAGGCGTTGAGCCCTTGGAACTACAAGTCCAATAAAAGAAATCAAAATAACCCATACACAGCTTCTCATGAGATTTTTCGAAAAAATTCCTTTACAAATATCAAATAACTTGCTCTCGGTGCTTTGCATCATTCATCTCTTAATCCGACCCTGGCTTGCTCGTAAGTGTCGTACGTATAACTAAATGTAACATTTTATATGACTAAACCATTGAAACATGGGAATTATGCTTAAAAACTAATCAAAGCCGCTAGTTGAAAGCTTGAGCCAAAAATTGACTTTTACAAAGCCAATTTCACTATCGCACACCAAATAACCATCGGTGGGAAGCAATGGGACATGCCGCCGATTTTTTTTAAATTAAATGTGGCGAGATTTTTACATTTATAAACATTTCTTAAAGATTAACGGCCTTACTTATAATAAACTGAACTATTAATTATCCCTTTACCTATCTCGTTCTATTGTAATTTAGTGAAGAAAGAAAGAGCAACTTAAACATTTCTTAAATTGACGTTTATTTTATAGCCGTAAATTCTCAACAATACGGCAGTTGTGCTAATGTCTATTCAAACACTAATAATACAGCCTGTCAAAACGAAACTTCAATATAAATAATATGGGATTATTTACGTGGTAGAGCCATGCTGCAACTATATTTATAGTACAGTTGTAGCAGAACGGGTCGGCTCGACCATGTAAGGACCACGCTCTCACAGAATACCAGCGTAAAATAGCAGCTTAATGCTGCTGTGTTTCGTATGGTGAGTGTAGAGAACCGGAGACCTATTTTACTGGAAAAGAGGCATTCTATTTTAGTCCTCACGGCTGACAACACATCTGCATTTTAATTCGCAAACGAAGATAGATGTAGATGTCTATGGACCACAGCAACCACTTACCATCGGGTGGACTGTGTGCTCGTTTGTCACACTTATACTATAAAAAAGAAATGGGAATACCGGTTGATGAAGTCATTATCTTGTAGTTAAATATCCAATCTTATTGTTTAATTTTACATAACCAAAGTGCTATAAAGTGTTATAAAATTTAAAGAAAAGCCCAGTTATACTCTACCAAATCTAAGAAATACCTTTTGACGTTTCACATAACCATTCCGCGATAACTTTGTACAAGCGTACTCACACGATTTAAAATAACCTTTTACATAAATCCCAATAATTATATAGTTATCTATATCTCATTACAACATGTAAAGTTCTTTATCATTAATTTAAATTCGAATCTTTTAAACAAAGCAAAATATAAAAAAAATTAATCAGAATCAACTTTTATGCTCTACGTTGTTTCAATGATATGTTGTTATGTACCCTACCCTAGTGTTTGGATGATTAAAATTCATACTAATCCAAATAATCGATAAAAATATTGAAATAATCGAACCATTACATATATTTTTTAATTGATTATTTGTTTATTTAAATTTTTATTTTTAGAGTTACATAAATTATATGTATCGTGAATATCTTTTCTTTTTATAATTTTTGTGTGTCCCACTGCGGAGACGTTGTCATTAAGTTTAGAAGATGTCTGCTTGTGCAATGGTAGTATAGAGTAATTTAAAGAAATTGAAAAGGAATTGGCTTACGATAAAAAAATTACAAACTAAAAATAATTATTTTGAGACAAGAATACAAAGAAATTTTTTTTAATGAGAAATTAAAGATATAACCAATTGGGACAACGTTATATTGAATGATGAAATATGGCTAAAAGCTAACCACACTGTGTCGCAGACTTTCCCGTGGGAAAAGATGCGCGCCTCAAGCTTTGCCATGTGGGATCCGACGGAGGAAGATTTGTAAATTTACAACTACTACACAAGAGATGACTGAGTAAAACTATGTGATGGATAAAACTACAGAATAAATAATAGTACAAGAACAGAAGAATCACTCTCTGAGAGCAAACTTGCGAGTTTAAACCTAGTTACAACGTCGCTAATGTTCATAATACTTTGCACGCCTCGGATACGACCTTCGTTAAAATAGCCTACTGACACGGCGCGCATATTAAAATCAAAATGCAACTCTGCGTCCGAGAGTTTAGTAAACTATTAAGTAATCTGTGCCGACAGTCTGTATCATTTAAAGCCTTATGCGCCTTTGTTAAAGCATAGAAACTAAGAAAAATTTTATAGACGACTATTAATTTTGAATGCATTATAGAAAATCAAATAATAATTATCTAATGTAAACGATGATGACGACATCAACTCAACTGTTTTGATCAATGATTACATTGTTTTTAATCTAGTGCAGTGTTTCATATATATAACTATCTATATAATACAAAGAAACTGATAAACTTTGTGTTTTGAGTTATCGGTTTCTAATTTATTCTGATAAATTAATCTAGATAAAAGATTCCTGGTATTAATCCGGATAAAACTGTAAATCATCAACTCTAAAGAATCGAAATCGATTTCTAAATGAAATATTGAATCGAATATTATGGGACCCGATTTTTCAGTTGGAATGCCTGGCCCAATGAATGTAACAGCTATCAAAAGTTATCTCTTAGATTTGGTGGAGTATAATAAAATTATAACTTGAGTAAATGCTTATAAAAAGTACTGATCGGTTACTGTGGTATATCCATATTAATTGATGTAGTGTATGTCTATTCTTGACGGAGAATAATAACATATGCAGTATATTATGTGCATTATAGTCTGAGGACTAAATCTGGTGACTAACGTCCATGATGACCACTGACATCACACTGAAATAAATGTTACATATCCAAGCTACTGAAAACCGACATCGTGGTTTGGACGAATCTCTTCAAAAGTTATACATACAGGTCGGTACATTTTTTTTTGCTATAGGAACTTCACGATTCTACTTTTTTAGCAAATTAGCATGCGGCTCACCAGACTAAGTACCAGTGTCCAAGAACATCCTCAATGATAGAGAAATTGCAGATGTGTTAATGATTTCTTATATGATTGCAGATTTTAGCAATCGCCGTAAGATGACAAGCTAGGTCCGGATGATACAATACAACTGGATGCTCGGACCAGTCTCCAGCTAAAGAAATTTCGTCACCAGCAATTGGGTCTGTGTTATTGGCGTCTATGAAATATAGGTTGAGAAGGGACGGGGGTCAATTTTAATTGGATCCCTTTAAGGCAGGTGGCGCTGAGGCGCGTTGGCGGCGAGTTCTCGTACAAAGAACACGTCGAAGTTGAACTCCAATCATTTGTCCCATAGGCCGGCTTCTTTCATCTTTGTATGGAAGTATTTCTCTAGGAGGTTCGCGCATCTGAAACAATTTGGTGTTTACTTAAGGTAAGAGTCCATTTGAGGTAGGTCAGGTCGCAATGGTGCGGCGAGCATTTTTGCGTACAACGTCCACTATACAAGGCAGGCCGCGTCGCATCGGCGAATTTTTACAGTAATACAATGACAAGCGAGCTTACGGTAGTGTGACAATTATTTTTATTAATGTTGTTGGTTAAGGATCAAGAAAATAATAAACTTCGCAAACATAAAGTCTGGGTTCACGATATATGCAAGAAAAGATGTTGTGGTGAATTACATCACTTATTCTAGGACCTAAAGAATGATCCGTTGAAATTCTTTGATTATTAGTCTTACGAAAATTTTGAAAAATTACTTAATATTTTACTAGAAGATCTACATAAACAACTTGTAGAACTAACGATATAAGTAGTTACTCGTAAATTTTTTTCGTAAATACATACGTCCGCTCGCTGCAATGTTCTAGTACAAATGATGTGCTCCATGCGTCCACTGGAGGCGAGCCGGGCCGGGCCGGGCCGGGCCGGGTCGCATCGACGGAAAAATACGGCGAGCGATGCGCCGACGGTTCCGTCGCGGTGCGGCCCGCCCCGCCTCTAATCGACGCAGTTTCATACTAAATGTAGTAGCAAGCGGATTTTTGCGTTGCGATGCGACCCGATGCGGCCCGCCTGGTGGACGCTAACCTTTATTGTACATTATTTAAAGAATTCGGTCAAAAATTTTATTTTTTACCGTGGGTGTTCTCGGTAAACCGCGGGGCAGCGACATTTATAAGATTAAAAATTACAACATAAGTTTGTTGCAAACTGCCTCCACGATACAGAAGAAAATTTTAGTTTGGGGGAACGTTTTATATATTAGTACAGCATACGAGTTCGAACAACACAATTTTATTTTTTTAAATGTAACCCCACACAAAATGTTTATCTTTAACACCGTGGAGGTATAAAAGATAATCCTTTGTAGGCCACACAAAGCGACAATAGCCTAATGGCAGGATGCTAACCGCGAACTAAAAAGGTCGTGCGTTCGAATCCACCCATAGAAATATAAAAAAACGAGAAGTGGCAGTAAGGGGGCGTGTCTGTGTACAGGAGCTATGATCAAAATGCTCATGTTCTATGCAAATGGCCGTTCCTGCGAAGTAGTGCGCTTTCGATCATCAACGCGAATTATTATCAGGTTGCCGAGTTGTTTTTTTTTATAGTATCGGGTGACAAACGAGCACACAGTCCACCTGATGGTAAGTGGTTACTGTGACCCATAGACATCTACATCTATCCTCAATAAAGACTCAAGATGCAGATGCGTTGTCACCCGTGAGGACCAAGATGGAATGCCTCTTTGCCAGTAAAAAGGGTCTCCGGTTCTCTACACTCACCATACGAAACACAGCAGCGTTAAGCTGCTATTTTACGCTGGTTTTCTGTGAGAGCGTGGTCCTTCCCCGGTCGAGCCGACCCATTCGTGCTACAACCATAATATAGCTGCAGCATGGCTCTACCACGTAGAAATGTTGTTCAGTGATTTCTTGTAAAAACCAAAAACTAAAAGTGTAAATCATGGAATCACTTACCATAATATATTTTACTATATTTATCTTTAAAATTATGAAAAACAACGCATCGTAAAATATTTCTTGCTCTTACTACGTTATTTTTGTTTTCAAATATCACAGCGACTGTACTGTTTTGCAGTAAAAACATTGCTCCTTAACCACTACCCTAAGTATGTCGCTAAGTGACTGAACAAGCAATGTAAATATCACAAACGATACTTTATTTATGCGGATGGATCGCGCATGAAGCTAATACAAAGGGGAGACGGCATAAGCAACTGTGCACTGTGATTCTAAGTAGGTCCTGACGTCATCATAGTGGGCGTGGCTTTAGTTAGTATACCGTCAGCATTCGTCCTGTGCGCTTATGTGTTGAAAAAATCGCAAATCGGTGTATTTTCGTAGTATTAAGAAGAAAAGGATGAAGTGTTGTGTTTTATTGTGTAAAAACTACTCAGATAGACGCTCTGATGTTATGGATGGCATCACATTTCATTTGTAAATAATTTTACCCCTAATTTATTAACATAGTTCGAGAAAAATCTCTTTGCGTCGGCTTTCAAATATAATTAAATATATTCGACACTAGATGGCGACACTTGTGTGTCATGTGAACTAAAAATATAAAGGTCCGTAGAGCTCAGTATTAGTAAAATAATCATACGAAGGTGCTGAAATTTGTTTTGCATTCAGACATAAAGAAATTTTAATCGCAAAATATTATTTTTATAGTTTATAATCATTTTGAGAACAGACCGTATTCTCAAGTAAACCTCATAAAAATGACAAAAAGACAGGGCCCTAATTAGAATTCAATTATTTTTCCCAGTAATCCTTTTAATATTAAAATGCAGGAAATTGTACTTAGGCTGATTTTTACGAAATGTTTAAGTTATATTTACTACCGTCAAGGTAGCTAAGCTACATTGCAACATCGATATGGAAAGATTCGAGTAGTTTTACTATTTATCGGTAGATGTAGATAGTGTAAAGTGGGTGGAGCTTTGCATCCCCTCACCCCGCAAATTGTCACGCGTTGTTACATAGTGAAATTTAATTACAACGTCTCCTCTTTGTATTTGCTTCATGGGATCGCGTACTACAGCCGCTGTACCTTGCGACGAGTTAGTGATGTGCTCCACTATATAGGCTATCTATAGCTAAAGGAGTAAGTAGTATGGTGCGTGGTGAATGCACGCTCTGCTTGTAGGAATAAGGTTTATAATTGACTTTGTAGTACTTTCTGATTTATAAAATGCGAGTGTGTGCGCGACTCTGTATCTATTTGCTTTTACTGATCTGCATGTGCGGTAGTTGGCGTGTGGTAGGGGCCAACTGGAGGCACCAGGTTACGATACACATTTTCAACTACCGGGCATATCCTTCTTTTTTATATCTATAAATCCACCATTCGATTACTGTCGTGAACTACTTCTAATACAAGCACTTCAAGTTGTGTAAAGGGTTTATTAGAATATTAGTAATGTTAATAACATTGCCAGTATTTAAAAAAAAATCAATTAGGTTGGACAGCATGCGGGAGATTACAACGCATCTTCTCGTCACGTATACCTTAAAACTTGGAAACACGAGTGTAGTGTACTCTCTTACTTTTAAAAAAATGGTTCAAAGATTTGGTATTTCTGTACATCTTTAATACCAAAACGATCATTTTATAGCTTTCTATAAGAAACCTTTTATTTTTATTTAATATTTAAGTTCCGCACTAATTACCTATAATAGTCCGTATCTGGCGAGTTGTACAGGCGACAGTTGGTGAATATCCGTGTCATGTCCGCAATGAACAGCCTCTTCGATACGTAGTAGCGGGACTTGAGACGTTCGCCCATCGTGCGGAGATCTGTGTGTGTGAAAGCATGAGAATATTCTATATATAAATCCATCAAACCCTTTTATCCCGTCGTAAGTAGCGACTAGGGGAAATATCAGAAAAATCTAAGGGTTTCCGATAAAAAGCTTTAAAAACGTCTCGCTTTTTTATAGAATAATGGGGACAAGCAAGGAGACAGTTCACCTGATGGTGTATGGATGCCCATAAAAATCCTCAATTAAGAATCAAAATGCAAATGCGTTGTTACACCTGAGGACTAAAACGGAATTCCTCGTTTTCAGTAAAAAAAAGTCTCCGACTTTCTAATATACGAAACATGCTGGTGTTCTGTGAGAGCGTGGTCCTTGCCCAACCGACACATTTGTGTTACAACCACAACATAGCTGTAGCATGACTCTACCGAATATAAAAACTTGTTTACGGCAGATGTGAAATACACACACTGGCGATTGGCAGCGTCAAAGGTACGAGACGCCTCTTTTATAGTATAAGGATGACAAACTAGTACACAGTCCACCCGATGGTAAGTGGATGCTGCTTACCATGACTCCCACATTTATCCCCAACCAAAAACAAAATGCAGATGGCGCTATCAACTCTAAGGACTAAAATTTACAGTAAAAAAATTCTCCCGTTCTCTACACTCACCATACGAAACAGGTGCGTGGTCCTATCCCAGTCGATCCGACCCGTTCGTGCTACAACTATAATATAGCTGCAGCGTGGCTCTACCACTTAGCGTCTGGTACTGCGGTCGTCAATCTGTCTGTCTAGAGTAACGGTTGGGGCAAATGCTCCTTACAAAGAGAGATGTAATGCCCATGTCCAGCAGTGGACTTTTCATTGAAATAATATTAGAATTTACTAGAGATAATTATCCTGGTGATGTTCGTTAGGATACTGGGATAAATTTATTAAATTATTGTATTGACATAGGTCATTGATACGAGTGCAAATTTTCAAGTCAATCGGCTATTTACTAGTTGGTGAAAATTACATGAAACGTTTTCGTTACATAGATAGATAAATAGATAAATATACGCGAAGCTAATAAAAGCGTGTTAGAAAGAAAGACTATATTATTCTTCATTATATAAAACTATACAAACTGGCCGTGTGATGGCTGCTTAAGAGAATCCATTATTTCATTCCGTCCCGCACTCGCAATATCTTGTGGCCTCCGATAGATGGCGGTGGCGGTATAAACGATGGATGTCGGTATGCCAGATGTAAAATGCTCAGACCGGCGACGATGCGACGATGCAGTGCAAAAGACCGGCCGTGTAAGAATATCCACTACCCCATATCGTTCCGTGTGTGTCGTAAGAGGCGACAGAGGGGAAATGAAACAGCAGATGAGATAAAACTGAGATTGTCAAAATGCCCCCTACGTGGCAAACTATGGGGTGAGGCCTATGTTAAATAGTTGACTTTTATAGGCTATAATGGATGGATGGATAGAATGTCAAATGATGCGAGACGTCTGGTAATGCGATTGTCGATACTACAGTAAAAACACCTATGTCGAGTTGTAAACTGCTTTAGGGCTCTCGAGTTTCTTTAAAGCCATCTACAGGAGGCCGTTAGTCACATCTTTCTGGCAATATCCACAATCGCCTCCTACGAAATTCATGGAACGAAATTGGGTGATATATTCTCGTACACCGCCACCACACTGTACTTAAAAATCACCATTTTATGGTACTATTATCGTTAAGCAAATGCAACCTGATATTTAACATGCATCGCAAGGAGATACAACTCAAATTGGTTGCGCTAACGCGCATGGATGTTTTTTATTAGTTAGGTTGGCTGGCATTTTCTCTCCCTTTTTTTTCCTTTTGCGGCACATACCTAGTGTGGCATAGCTCGTCCGAGAGACCAGTCGTCAATGCGAACCACAACGAAGTATCTCATCAAGAGATACGAGGCACGCCGCCCATTGTCAAGGAATTGTGTTTGATCCATCCTTTTTATGAGCTGTTTATTTGTTGTTGTTTATTCCTCAGCAGCTCATGTCCCTTCGTGCCAGCCAACGAATTAAATCAATTTTACGCAAAGTTCGACACACGCCACGTCCTCTATTTGGTTTTTGGTTCCTACGACCACGCAGACACAGTCTTTTGCACCATTATTTTTGGTAGCATTCGAGCCGAATTTTTGATCACAATTGTTTGTCACTATGATCACATAATACATGTGTAATATGTAGGTAGATATTGAAAAACTTACCCATCGGATATTTGATATGATCGTAGTAATCTGGCACTTCAGACTTATCAACGGGTTTCAGGAACGGCCATGCGGCGGCATGGTTTTTCACCTGGTAATAAATATATATTTATAATAATATTTATATTAATATTTTATTACATTTCATATAATATTTCATAGCACTACTAGACCACTAGACCAAAGATATATACAGTATTATTTTACAAACATTAGCCAAATTTAAGCTTAAGTTCAAATATATAAATATTAATATACCGTTATTGCAGTTTTTGAAAATACGAGTAAATAAGCCTTCTACATTTATTTGAAATTATCTCATAGTGAATGTGATTTATGGGCAACAACAACGTTTTTGCCTACCGATCGCCCCTTACGAATGTGTGCGTGCACAGTAAAATTAGTTAAAATAATGCATTACTCGTACCACGCATTTTGAATTTAAAAGATAAAAAGGGCAGAATGTTTGAGATGTTTTTTAATTAATTTTTCTTTACCATTTGGTTATACAGGTTGCCAAAAAGTCGTAGATCAAACGCAACTAGGGGTTAGATGGGGTCATCAGCTGGAAAAAATTGTTCTACAAGAGGTCCTTAAGGTCAACCCCTGCAGAGTTATAATTTATTTTGTGTTTTTATGAGAAAATTATTATTTTTTTACTAATTCTTCATCTATATCTGTATGTTTTTTATAATTTTCACTAGATTGGTATTGATGAGTCCTTGCGTTGGACATACTATTTAGGGTTGTTTATTGGGTGTGTTAAAGAAAATGTGCCCCTGTGCCTCGGAAATCACGTAAAGCCGTTGGTTCTGCGCCCAACCTTTCAGAGAGCAGGTAGTGTTGGATAACATTGGCCTATGAGAGTGAGGGAATAGAGAGTGCATTTGTACTTGCGCATACTTGGGCACTATAATTCTATCTTGCGCTAATAGCTAGTTTCTGTGAAGGTTGTTCGCCGTGACGAAATTTGATTAGTCAGAAATTATTATTATTTTATAGCAGCACATGATATCGGTGGCATTTTAGGTGATTTTGCTTTAAGACACTTTGTGTGATTTAACTCCTGATAACTAAGATATGTATGGACGGTAACAACTTAGAACGACACATAGGTACAAAAGGAACCCTATTACCTCGTAAATTTTTACCACGGAGTAAGCAGGATATTTTTGATTTCAATACAAAAATATCCCCCGACATTTGACATCAGTTATCAAAATCCAGACACGTTTTTAACTGAGAACTAAGTTGGAATGTCTGGTTTCCAGTAAAAAGGGTTAAGCAGGTGGTGTGTGAAGTTATAGAGATAAAAGCGCATATGGTGCAGGGGACTGACGGCGTGCAGCACGGCGCGCAGGGGGGCGGGGTCGGCGTCGGGCTCGGGCTCGGGCGCGCGCCCGCCGCGCCAGCCGCTGTCGCGCAGCCCCGGCACGCACTCCACCGGGATACTGCGCACCTGACGGACAACATTACAGTTTTACACCATTACCTATTAAAGCCGACATAAACAATAAATTGCTACGGCTGTCAGGACATTTGAATTTGTTTGTCTTTTTCGCACATGTAGTATGAACCATTTTAATTTATTTACGTGACAGGGTAACCCTAGCGAACAGCTGTGAACGCTCCATCCACGTCTCGGCCCGCACCGCACAATTGCCCCATTTAGACGCCTACGATGACCGACTGTTGTAATAGTTAGACTGTGATATGATGTAGTGAATATTCTCACATCGCCACTATACCGTAAAAGAAATTGTTATATAACTATATATTCAAACATATTACTGGGCATATTGATTATATACTTTACTTAGCTTTTCTAAACGTGTGGTAGTGACATAGGTGTTTTCATCACCTTACTTCATGGATATCGTAAGACTATATGGGTTATATCAAATGATCTTATGGCATCCAATAAATGGCGTTATTACAACACGTTTAAAAAGGCGTAAAATACCCAAAAACGTCTTGTATTACAATATCGTCAAACCATCTACGAAGCATGATTATTAGGCAAATCCTTATATCCAGCATTTTTTTATAGGATAGGGTTATAAACGAACACACAGTCCACCTGATGGTAAGTGGTTGCTGTGGCCCATAGACATCTACATCTGTCCTCGTTTGCGAATCAAAATACAGATGCGTTGTCACCCGTGAGGACTAAGATGAAATGCCTCTTTCCAATAAAAAGGGTCTCCGGTTCTCTACACTCACCATACGAAACACAGCAGTATTGCAAGCTGCTATTTTACGCTGGTATTCTGTAAGAGCGTGGCCCTCCCCCATCGAGCCGACCCATTCGTGCTACAACTATACTACTAATATAGCTGCAACATGACTCTACCACGTATAAAAAACACAGCATAACCCATATCCAGCAATGGTTTAAAAATTGATGAAATGAAAGGCCTTTATTAATCTACTGCTGGATATATGTCCTATCATGACCGACCGCTATGCATTACCCAAAAGGTTTCTTCACTACCATAAACATGCAGTTTAATAGGTTTAAACCCGGTATCCTCACACTAATAATATTACTCTCATTAAGGTTCGATTTTTTGAAATCAATATATCGACGTCTGTCGATTGCTAAAACCTCTTTCATTAATTACCAAGATGTAATTTTGTGTAGGTCAGCTTGACCTTCAGAGAATAATTAATAAAAATATTGTTGATCCTTTATAACCTTACATGCCTATATTTACCATCATTATTATTATTACAGCCTATCACAAGTCCACGACTGAACATAGAGATCTCTTCATAAATCGCCACAAAGCATTGTTCTGAGGATGTTTCATCCGGTCAACATTCGTCGTCGTATTTATATTATATATTAGTGCTATTTTTAAGTGTTATTATGTCGAAACGGTAGAATAACGTTGTTATTTAAGAGAATCTTTAGCACCACAGTTTAAAATTGTAGTCGCCGATAGATCGACATTGTTCTCCACATTAAAAAAAGTTCAGTTTACAACACTCGAAATGAAATAGAATAGAACAATTAAATTCTCATTTTTAACCGACCTCAAAAAGGAGGAGGTACTCAATTCAACTGTATGTTTTTTATGTGTGTTACCTCTTAACTTTTTTTCAGGTGAACCGAATTCAATGATTCTTTTTTTATTTGAAAGCTGGTGCTTCTCATGTGGTCCCATATAAATTTGATCAAGGTCTGACCAGTATGTTTTGAGTAATCCTAAATAATTTATATTGAAGTTGGTTACACAAAATTTTTAATCTTACCACTTGTAATAAAACATAATAGGTCAATTATTGGTTTTACAGTAATAGAATATGTAGGTTATTAATAGTACTTACACCTTCCTTAAAACATGTGAGCCCAGGATGAACTTTCCTTATCTCCTTCTGACGCATATCGATCAATTTCTTCACGATCTGCAATTTGAAGCAACTGATCATAGTGATATGATGCATACATAACATAGCACTCAGCGATCGCAGAGCCAATTAGATAATGCCTCAATTTGAGGCGAAAAACGTGTCATATACGGCGTAATCGTCGTACATGGTTAAAGCAATGGGTGCTGCTTTTAGTAAACGAATTGCAGATCGTTTTAATGTAATCTAAAATTCACCTGATGGTAAATGTCAAAGCTGAAGACCGAGTGTGGCAGCATCGTTTCCGGGACACCTGAGATTTTGAGTGAGATTGAGAGGTTCTATGGGCAGCTGTACACGTCATCGTTGGAGACATACGCAAGTGTGAGTAACGATCCAAGAGCGAGTCTTATCCGACACTATTCCGAAGATATCCCGGACGTCAGTCTGAGCGAGATAATGGCTCTCCAGCACCTTAAAAACGGCAAGTCCCCGGGCGAGGATGGAATTACAGCGGAGCTTTTGTAAGCTGGTGGAAAACCGGTACTTGAAGTCCTTCGGAAGCTCTTTAATTTCGTCCTCCATGGTGGCATTATTCCGGAGGCGTGGAGCAGAAGTGCGGTGGTCTTGTTCTTCAAAAAGGCAACAACGCTCTCTTGAAGAACTACAGACCGATTTCCCTTCTGAACCGCGTCTACATGCTGTTTTCGAGAGTCATTACGAATCGTCTCGCCCGCAGACTTGACGACTTCCAGTCTTCCGAACAAGCCGGTTCCCGAAAAGGTTTTAATACCATAGACCTACACAACCTTCGGCAAATTGTACAGAAGACATATGAGTATAATCTGCCACTTTGCCTTGCGTATGTGGACTATGAGAAATCCTTTGATTCCGTCGAAATTTGGGCGGTGCTGCAGTCCCTGCAGCGGTGCCATGTTGGCTGTCGGTATATCGAAGTGCTGAAGTGTTTGTACAGTAGGGCTACGATAGCTATCCGAATACAGAACCAGAGTACGAAACCTATCCAATTGCAGAGAGGTGTAAGACAGGGTGACGTAATATCCCCGAAACTCTTCACCGCTGCATTGGAAAACGTTTTCAAGCTTCTGGACTGAAAAGGATGCGGTATTAACATCAATGGCGAGTACATCACTTACCTTCGATTTGCCGACGATATAGTCCTTATAGCAGAATCGCTGGAGGACCTAAGCACTATGCTCAATGACCTCAATAGTGTCTCCCAACGGATAAGTCTTAAGATGAACATGGACAAAACAAAAAGCATGTTTAACGTCCATGTCACACCTATGCCGGTAGTTGTTGGGAGCACTAAGCTCGAAGTTGTTGACGAGTATGTTTACCTGGGACAAATAGTCCGATTAGGTAAGTCCAACTTCGACCGAGAGGTCAATCGCGGATTCAACTCGGCTGGGCAGCGTTCGGGAAACTACGACACATCTCGTTAGACATACCTCAAAACCTGAAAACGAAATTGTAGAACCAGTGCGTGTTGCCAGTGATGAATTACGGATCTGAGACGTGGTCCTTCACTGCTGGCTGAATGAGGAAGTTGAAGGTCGCTTAGCGAGCTATGGAGAGGGCTATGCTCGGGGTTTCTCTGCGTGATAAACTTAGAAATAAGGATATCCGCAGTAGAACCAGAGTAACCGACATAGCCCAACGGATTAGTAAGCTGAAGTGGCAGTGGGCCGGCCATATAGCTCGAAGAACCGACAACCGATGGGGAAGAAAGGTTCTTGAGTGGCAGCCGCGAAGTGTAAGGAGACCCCCCACTAGATGGAGTGACGACCTGGTTAGACATGCAGGAAGTCGATGGATGCAGGTGGCTCAGGACCGAGCTTTGTGGCATTCCTTGGGGCAGGCCTATGTTGATGATGATGATGCTTGACAAACGCAAAGAACTCTTCAGCCCACTCTATGACGTCATCAGTAGTAAAAGTTTGAAAAGCTTTTAAAAATTGACTCCTTGTAAAACAAAAGCAATTAATATACTACTAATAAAAACGACACTTACAAATGTACCTACATAATGGTGTAAGTTTTTAATTATATTTGCACGTGTATAATTTCATTAGTATTGTATGAGCTTACAACTCATGTAATGGTAAAACTGCTGGAGCCTGTGGTTACATAGAATGAAAACTACAGATACGTTTATTTTCTATACGCTAAGATAAGACAAGACAGAATTCACCACAGCTGATAAGAAAAGTAGGAGTGGTACCTAGTTAGACGGATTCTTACTTAAGACCATTAAGACTACTGGGTTCTTACTCTAAGAAAGAAGGAGGCCAACCACTTTATACACAACCGTTCTGTCGCAGTGCAAATTGGAGGATTTCACAACATGTTCAAGAAAAATCATTTGTTTCTTAGTTAAGTAGGTCACGATGTTTTCTCACTACCGAGCACGTGATAGAGCAGTTTCATTGGCGGAAATCAAACTGGTCGCTCACGTGCTGTAACCGTTCCGTAAGGACGAACGTTCCGTGTCTATAGAGATATTATTACTAGAGAAAAGGATAGAGAATTTAATTTAAAAAAAAAAACAACTAAAATACCTCCTTTTGTCTCCTTATAACGGAAGTGAACTGTGTGTAAACAATGCGCGGGTTTAATTCGCAGTGCATCAGCGTGGCGCCCTCGTAGTCTTTTATGTAACCCTGGTACATGGCTCGAGGCAGTTTTATGTCTTTACTGAAGCCCTGCTTCTTGAAGTAACCTGAAATGAACGTAAATCAACGGTAACCCCGGTCCAAGTGTGCCCATAAACAGCCCGCGGTTGAACATCTCTAGATAAAGAGAATGTAAAGCAGCTGCAAGGAAGCTAGGCTAGCCTTTACAAAAGTGCGGTGGTATACCCGACGGGACGGTTGCTTACTCTAAATAAAGCGCAAGTCCGGTCGCTTTGAACTCAAGAAAAGGTGTACTAAGAGGCTTAGTGGTCCCAAAAATTGTTTGTGGAACACAAGAAATAAAATTTCTTTTTGATCACCCTTTTCTTATACGTATTCACGTAGTAGCGGTATGCTGTGAATAAAGAAACCGCAGCAGCCGTTAGCGCCTCAATATCAATTTCAATATATTCGTCCACACATTGGCCTGAGCCGAAGCAAACTGAACGACCTTCTAACGTGTGGACGCCATCACAAACTCTTGGCTAATGATATCTTTACCAACACATTCGCCACTATGTTGGCCAACATGAAGAGTCGCCTTAAAACGGGTCTCCGATTCTCTACACTCACCATATAAACACAGCAGCACTAAGATGCTATCTTATGCTGCTATTTTGTGAGAGCGTGGTCCTTCCCCGGTCGAGCCGACCCATTCGTACTACAACCGTAATATAGCTGCAGCATGGCTCTACCGTGTAAAAAACCAAATCTTTTTTTGGTTAAAACTAATCTCACCAGCCTCGAACATAGGCTCAAAGTACATAAAGCATAACTTAATTCCTCCCTCGCCCTTCCACCCTCAGACAACCAGACGCTCGGCCGAGCGACTGGTTATCTGAGGGTGGCCTCGACAGAGAGACTGGCCAGTCTCAAACCTTTCGTTGTCAACTTACAACGCATTCGAACCAAGTGATTTTCTACATCGTTCGTCATGCGTACAGCAAAGGAGTGGAATAAGTGGGTTAGCAGGTTTTAAGTATTCTTTCATTAGCTTAAAATTCTTAGAATACATCTTCAGGAGTGATAAATCAGAACTAAAAATAGTAATTATAACTAAAATCTAATTTCAGTTGGTGCCGGTTGCAACGCCTGAACTCACGTTGTGGCATTGAGTTGGAAATGCTCAATAATGAATAAAAAACAAACTGACCTATAGCAAACTCATCGGCAAATGTCAGGAAATGCAAGATATTATTTCTGATGTGGTAATCCTTGAGGTGGTTCATTAGATGTGTACCGTAGCCTTTAACTTGTTCGTTGGACGTAACAGCACAGAAGACAATTTCGCTGAAGCCCTGCAAAAAAAAAAAACAACCTTTAGATCTCTCATAATATGGTAACTTAGTTTCTACTTTAGTTATAAATTTTATTTTTATACGTGGTAGAGTCATGTTGCAGCTACATTACTGGTATAAAAGTAAAATGGCAGCTTAACACTGCTGTGTTTCGTATGGTGAGTGTAGAGATCCCGAGACCCTTTTTACTGGAAAAGAGGCATTCCATCTTAGTCCTCACGGGTGGCAACGCATCTGCATTTTGATTTGCAAACGAGGATAGATGTAGATGTCTATGGACCACGGCAACCACTTACCATCAGGTGGACTGTGTGCTCGTTTGTCACCCTATCCTATAAAAAAAAAACCTCTGAGAACTAATATGAAATACCGCACAGCCAGCAACTATACTGGCTCTCTATACTCTTCAGGCTGGAACATAGCAGTGCAAGCCCATAAGACTTTGAAAAATACAGATAAGTTTATTAACCAGTAGGGAAGGCCAGTATCGATATACCATAAAAAATTTACCTGTGAATGGAATGTCCTGAAGCAAATCCCACCAATGGGTCTCCCTTCTTTAATAAGAGCCAATGTTTTATGCTTTCTGAAAAAAGAAAAGGGAAACAGATAAAATATCTTCGTCCAATACTAAATCGCTACAAAGAATGATAATAATACTTACGGATCGAAAACCAACTGTGATATGTACTCTTTGGTCATTTCGGGCAGCTGATGCGAGAACACGTTATGAAGACCTAAAATAAACAAGATTTGATACAGATTTGTTATTGCGAAATAAGTGACATTGATTTTTGAGTGTGTGGTTATTTTTACCACAGTTGCCACAGGCGGGTTGTCAACCATATTTTTTATTAATTTGAGTTGTTATCAAGAAGATGTTGTTGCCCATTCATCTCCTGTTCAACTTGCCTCGGTCGCTTCCTACGATACTCACGGTATGATATGGGGTAGTGGGTTTTCTTACGTCACCATAACGGAGGTAATGATAAAATTTAGTCATGAGAAATATTATCTTCGAGACTTTTATTAATGAATAACAAGATATTAACTAATAGTATGTATCACCTATTTTATACAGCACCTCATTCCTACAATTGCGTTCTCTTATAAACTTTCTGTCCCCTCCACTAGGAATAACACATCGTCGATGATACGACACGTGTTTCGCCTCTAAACGAGGTAATATCGGGAGAAATAGACTTAGCGGTTAGCCATCTGCTAAGGTCAAGTCGCGGTACGTAACTCTAGTGCTGATCTAAATATATATATATATATATATATATATATAGGATAGCTGAGCATGGGTACTGTCGCGTACGTATGACGTATCAGTACGGGGCCCCGTATTGATACATAATACGCATTCCGTCCCCCGCTAGAGAGCCAATTAGCGCGTGCGAACGATACGCACGCCCGCCCCGCGACCCGCTTGCTACCCCATGATACCTTATTTTCTACTTATACGCAATAACGGTCGTCGCTAGACTTACGTATCACGACTTATAAGCGGTGAGTGTATTTTCTGTGATGTTAGTACTGTTAGCCAGTTACAGAATACCAGCGTGAACTCTACCTCTGCGTTTCGCTTGGTGAGTGCAGGCGGCCGAAGGCCCTTTTTACTGGAAATGAGGCATTCCATCCTAGTCCTCACGGGTGAAAACGCATTTGGATTTTGATTTGTAATAGAGGATAGATGTAGATGTCTATGGGTCGCAGCAACCACTTACCATCAGGTGGACTGTGTGCTCGTTTGTCACCCTTATCCTATTATCAAAAAAAAAAAAAAACAGATGAGTTATCTAACCACCGTCCTAGTCGGGTTGAGTGGGCACTGGCTCTAACGGATTAACTCGTGTAGCTGTAGCACGGATGGGTCAACTCGACCGTGGATGGACCACGATCTTGCAAAATGTACGTACATATAGTGAGCTTTTACTGAAAACGAGGTGTTCCACCTTTGTCCTCATGGGGAAAACGTATCTGCATTTTGATTTTTAATTCGAGGCCATATATCCTTAACCAATTGGGTTGCAACATAATAAAATAAAATACATTTTATAAATTTCATAGTTATATAGATAATGATTTTAATGACAATGGTATATACTACTAATATTTTTAATAATAATAAATTTATAGACTAAGTAATCATTTTTACCTATAAGCCACAACATGGTCTGCTTGTTAACGGGTCCGGTGAGTGAGTTGCCTATGACGTGAAACTCTATCATCTTGCGTTGTTCCTCCAACTTCGCAGCTTCATCTCGAGGCGCTTGCATTTGGAACAGGGCCTTTGAATGCAGGAAAACGTAATTTTTTATTTAATACATTGAAAAAAATATCTTTAGCGAACACATTTTGGTTTGACCAGTGCTGTGGAAGTGTTTCATACACATAAATTGCACATGGACGGAGATCCAGATACTTAACAACAATTTTTAAACTGCACAAATACTTATACCGTCCGGAAATTGACGCCACAACCCATAGTCAGACAGACCCTTAGTAAAAGTGCTAATGAGATACTTAATTTACTGCATCTTTTTGACCATAGTTACTGTGCATTTTTTTAAATAAATATTTTCATTAGCTTGTGTCCAGGAGTCTTTAAAGAGATGTTTAAGTGAACTCAAAAAAAAGGCGTAAGCAACGACAATGCATTTTTATACAATTGTACACCATTGAACAATTTAGTTCGTATAGTGAAGTAAGAAAATCCATCAATCCATTTCGTTACTTAACTGTTGTAAGAAACTGTGGCAAACCTTAAAAAAAATGTCATGACTTTTGATAGACGATATCCATCTTGTTCACATCTCTATATATAAATTTATTTATTTGACTGGGTTCCTGGATGATCTAAACGATTCACAATTGGACCCGGTAGGTGGCGCTGTTGTCAATATTCAGAAATCACCCGTGCGAAGTCGGGGCGGATCGCTAGTCAGATATAGAAAAGACAGGTGACGGAGAGCACTATCAAGACGCAAGACGACTAATGGTCAATCCATGACGAAGTTTTAGTATTTTTAAAAGGATATTTTAGCAATGCTATTAACATTATTAATACTCTTGCTAACCACTTCAAGTAAGTTTAGCTCTAACAGTTGTATGGCGGATTCGAGTATACACCTTTTCAAGATTGCAGTCCGTACTATTAACCATTTATCGTTTGTACCGTCAAATATACGACGGGAGACGTCCACGTCCAAAAGTCGGTCCGCCTACGGGTCCACGTTATCAAGTCGTCAGTTGACTAGTTCAGACCGGGACACTTACATCGGGCCCGCACATGTAGTTGGGGTCGGTGATGGTGGCGACTATCTCTGCGACGGTGCGCTCGCTGACGTCATCACATTCGTCGGCGAGACGACGACGCTTCGCACCACCCACGGGCGTTTCTCCCGAACGCGATTCCGCGACACGCTTTAGGCCTTCCTGTTTTATTGAACCTGGACATGAAAGAATAGAAGAAAAAGTCATTAACAGAATATAATCGACATATTTTTTTCATATTAAAAACCCTAAATCTGGCTTGCTTATTTTTATACCTTGTTGCCGTGTGGCGTTCTCTACTAGATAAACCTGGGAGATGTCTTTTTAAATTAAAATTAACGAATGGATAATTTTTTGAGGTACATACTCAACGTCCCATTATTCGTGCTCTCAATCTCTCTCTCACTCTCTTTTTCTCTCTAATGTGTCGTTCAGTTTCATTCTCGTGATGTAGTCGATAAGTACTTAGGTTAAGAGCGTATTTAAAAAATGTTAATGTTCTCTTTTAAAGCACAGTTCATTTTGCAAATTATTCATTCAGCAACTTAGGATGGCTTAAAGTAAAAATAAACAGTTCATAAATAGTTTCAACTGGTATTTTGTTTAAGAAAAGAAGGTTTTAATGCACACTAAGAAAACGAAGCGTTTTTAAATACAGATACCCGGCATTAGTGTAGTGGTATTGGGTGGGATAATGTACGCAATTGTGAAAGGGAGGAAGGAAATTTCGTTTCAAACTAGGAGTTATGTATACACTATTTCATTTTTCACATGTTAATTTAATTTTCACAACTTTAACTGTCGCAAAGTAAAGTCTGATTTCATTAATTAAAATTCCAATAGCGAATAAACCTGCACCTGACGACAGTGAAACCGTAGTGAATCCGTCTTTACTTTCACCGGACGCTGTGACTCGTTCGAACTCCCCACCGCGACGTCCGGCTAAAATGGAAATGTTTTGCATTCAAACAAATTTTACTACATAATATGTAAAAGTCAAGTATATTTACAGCCACTATAAGTAACGGCACGAAAGTCTAGCGGTGACCGTTATTGCGCATTAGTCGCGATTGGCTCGTGCGTATCGTTCGCACGCGTTGATTGGCTCTCGAGTCGCATTCGTGCAATTCAATTCGTGAGCGTCCCTTCCACGTTTCGTTTAGCGCTAGACTTACGTACCGCGACTTGTACTAGTGCCATGGCTGGGCACGTCTCATTACTGAGAGGGTACGCCGTATAGCAATTCCTCTAGTAAAGTTAGGCTGCCCCAGTTCGCGTTGGTGAACTTCACGAGTCTTCAAAATATTTTTTTAATTTCCTAGACATGCATAATTCCTTAAGATGTTTTCCTTCAACGCCTAACGTGTTAAATCAGCACTTAACATCGCAATTAACAATTTGTTGGTTGTCAGTGTGTATCGAACCCGGGGACCTTGCGTATTTACAGGGAGCGCTTAACACCTGAGCTACCCCGCTCTTATACACATTACACAATACTTACACAACAATAATCTCAATAAAAAAAATCCGAATAGCTTTTAAACTCCAAAATCCCTGGGGGCAAAACGGACTCAGTCTCGGTTATGTAGTGTCAAATACTGGTCAAGCAGATTCTGCCGGGGAGTTAGCTACATCTGGTGTACTTGTGATCTCTGTACCTACTGGGAAGCTAGTTTTCCTAGTAGATATAGAGATTACATCTACATCTACTGGAGAGTTGGGAATGCAGTGAATACGTAATGTACGTAAATTAACTACGTCAAAAAAAAAAAAAGAAAACAATAAAACAATTATTTATTTATTGGTATTTTTTAAGTTTTCGTTACAAAATTATGATGCACTTACTGGTTTTATTTTCAAGTATCGCCTGCAAATGGTTAGGAGGAACTTGTTTGTAGTCTGGATCCCATATCGGAGAGTTGACACTAAATATTTCTTCTTCAAGCAACGCCAGGAAGCGAGGGAAGTGCGTGAGGACTAGTACCTGTATTAATATTTATTATTTTTTAAATTTATTTAAATATTTACGACCAAAAAACAAAATAAGAAACCAAGATATATGGGTAAGACATTTTTGTTTTCTACTAATTAAAAATTCGCCCCAGTTATGGCATAGCCTTTAATATATTAAGATATCCAAACCCATTTGAGTCTGGACTAGTTTTATGATACCAAAAAAACTGACCCTTTTCTCCGGCGGCATACGGTCGCGTTCCGAGTGACATTTGTCCATGAGTTGACGGCAAACAGACTTGAAAACTGCGCGCAGTAACGTCCGTCCAAAAACAAGGGACGTTTCAAAATGCGGTAAGGAATCACAGAAGGCTGGAACGTGGCAGAAAACTAACCATCTGTGGGAAAATGATTATGAATTTTATTGTTATTTTGATTCGATTGCTTAACTCATCATCACCATCATCATTACTACCATTCTAAAGCCCACTGCTGAACATAAGAATTAAGTAGATCTATATTGAATAAAAAAATATTTATTCTATTCTATTTTATTCGAAATGGCTAGTTATTGTGATAAAACTACATTTTATCCGAAAAGCATGGGATATCTTTTTTTATTTCAAAAAACAGATAAAATACCTGGGTTTTAAGGCATAAGTTATAAGAGATAAATAAGTTTCGAACATAACTTTTTTGATTTGCAATTTTACACCAAAAGTCACAATCCTGTTATCTTAAAGTTTTAATGCAAAACCGTTTTTTTACATGTTTTTACTACAACATTTTACAACAGCAGAGTTTAAGGATAAGGTAATAAGACCTTTACATGTAAAATCAATAGATAATGTGTGTGTGAATTATTAGATTTTAATTTTAAGCATTCTTTTATAAAAAAATAACACAGTGAGCACACAGTCCACTTGATCATAAGTAGAGGCTGTGACACATAGACATCCACATATATCCATCACATCCACATATTAAGAATCAAAATGCAGATGCGTTGTATCCCTGAGGACTAAGATGGAATGTCTCGTTTCCAGTAAAAAGGGGGTATTTTCCCATACATCATGAAATTTTCGTGCAAATAGCAAAGAAACTGAGTTTAAACTACTTGCTCAAACTATAATTGTTTAAGTTCTACAAGGAAGATATTATAATAAAGGCATGTTATAAAAAATTTAGAATCAAATCTGCAAAGTTAAATTTATTTAAGATTGATGATATTGCAAAGTTTTTCTAGAATAATTGACATGATGGCATTACCTGGTGTAGTTTATTTGGTATGCTGATATGTCCTCTGGATTCGATACTTGCTGCAAATAAAATGTCAGCTCAGAGTTATAAACAATGTGTACAATGGTTAAAGTTAAAAAGTTAAAGTAAAGCCTATATACGTCCTACAGCTGAGCACAGGCCTCCTCTCAATTCTGAGAAGGTTTTAGGGCAAGAAAATGTCCACCGCCATGCCCCAATGCGTGTTTGCAAGCTTCACATGTCTAAGAATATGTTTTTTAATTTTTTCTCAGACATGCGAGTTTCCCCACGATGTTTTCCTTCACCGCCAAGCACGTGGTAAATCAGCACTTAAAATTGCAATTAACAATTAGTCGTGAGAAAACCTGTTTGTCTCAGTAATAAGAAAAAATATATTTCGAAGACAGGTGAAGTTCGCTAACACGCATTAGGGCAGCGCGGCGGACATTTCCTTGCCCTAAAACACTTTCAGAAATGAGGGGAGGCCTGCGCCCAGCAGTGGGACGTATATAGGCTGTAACTTTTTTAACTTTATGAAACTTCATCATTATAATTTTATAATGTATCTCCATTTACATCCAATTTCCATTCAAATTCACTGATGCCAGCGCGGATCGAACTAGGGTCGCTCTCATACTGTGAAATTTACAGCGAATGCTTAACCCCTGAGCTACCACGACTCTTGGTAATTGGTACAATGTTGTACAGTAATAAATTAAAATCCGGAAAGTACATGGAGCTATGCTAGCTACTTTTGTTCAATTGTGAGTATATTCATTACGGATTGTATCATGTAGATTGTATAGAGACACTCAGAGCATGACCCTTCACATAGCTCACTGACAGAATCTCAGCCTCCTCATAAGAGCAGTGAGAGATCATAAAATAAGGAGTAAAAATAAATAACTAAAAGAACAATAGCAGACTTTCATACATAAAATTAGTTGAAAAGGCATCAGTCCCTGAATAACTTTATCAAAGAATTTTGTCCTGAGAAGGCGTCAAAAAGAAGATATTTAGAATTGAACCTTTTTAGGTTATGTCTTATATCACTTGGAAAAATTCATGCATCCTGTGGTTGTTTGATGGTAGCTTAATACATTCTCAACATAATGTACCTACCTACACAATTGAGAGTTTTTAGATTATTGTATTTCTATTAAATATTTGCATACTATAAATGTATATTTCTGGCAGGGCTCCAGTGCCTTTGTGTCATACAGTGACATGCTAAGAAGGGCTAGAACCCAGAGCCGTAAAGCCAGTAAAAAAAAACTGACATTTTGTATTAGCTAGTGTTGCCATAACATTAAATGAAATTGTTACATATTATGAAAATAGTATGAATATAGTAAATGGCAACACTTGAATAGAGTAAAATGATTTAAGTTGGCCTAAAGGTCTAGATACCAGGCGATAAACTCCAAAAAAAAATATTTTAAGTTATTTGATATTCCCAAAAATCTTTGTTTTTTCTGTGGCTTTAATTAAAATATATTTTTATTTGAAAAATCATAGAAAAATAATAAAACTCATTTTATATATAAGTTATTTCTAGAGGCAATAATTTTTGCCAACTATTTTTCTGCACTTGTTCTTTGCGAAATATTATTTATTTTTCTGTCAATCAATATTAGTAAACTAAACACTGGGCACCATATTGCCCTGTGTCCTATGCAGCGAAAGAGGGAAATCAGGAGATGAGCAGCAGTGTAATTGTAATAAAAATACAGCAACTATCGCAAATAGTCCCCTTAAGAGGCAGTTTTATGGAAAGACTTTAGGCCCTTAGTTCAGCAAGAAACTTTGATAGGTTGTAATGAATGAAACAAAAATTGAGCCTAAAAGTTAGGTAATAAGATTTAGTTTTAAATACAATAGTAGATTAATGATTTGGGTTTATATAATGAATTAAATTTTAAGAAATTCTCTTGATGCTGGCAGAGAACATACTCATTATTTTTTACTAATCAAAATATATCTTACCAATTTCCTAACACTAGGTGTTTCGAAGTTCCAATGGTTAAAACAATGCAGGAACATTTTGGCCAGATCATACATAGTCTGCCACTCTCTTTGCGGCAGCGTGTTGAATTTGTACAACACAAAGTTAGTTATGGCTTTTGCTATGGAGGGCCGTTCGAATGGCGGTTGACCCAGTGGACCTTCGATACGTGGGTGTGAACGTGTGAGGATGCATTTTCGGAGCAACTGAAAAATATGTTTATTTATTTAGGTATAATTGTATGCTGATGTTTCTTTTTTATTTAACCATAATTGAATATAAATGATTTTATTAAGCTATAATTGAATACATTTTATTTTATGTAGTCATGTTCATCTTCTGGTGTTTTTAGGTATTGCTACAATTAGTGGACAATGAACGAAAGGTCAGTATTGGCAAAACTAGTTTAGTCTGTCACAAAAATTTCACACAAGTTGGCCTAAGATCATCCAATTTACTAAGTTAATCCTTTTATCTTTAAAATTCTTTAATTTAAACAGTAGCCACTGATATACAATTTTTTGTATATCAATGACAGTAGCATAAAAATTGTAAGCGTCGAAGAAAAAACAGAATTAAATAAAAATAATTATACACTCTCAAACACCCAGTCGCAAATACTACATTTTCTCAATTTTATATTAGAAAATTCATTGCATTGCCTTTACAACACAACTACAAACATTTTTATGTACTGTGGTTGAGGTTTTATTTGTATCTCTATTTTTATACAAAAATCTTAAAAAGTTATGAGTTTTTTTAGATTAAATTTATAATATGATATAATCTGTTGTACGTTATAACACCCGGAGTTTGACATGATAGACGAAATTACTGAAAACATTAAAGATTAAATATGCAAACCATGCTGCATAATAAATATAAATTTAACAACAACTCTTCCAACTATTTGAAAATGAACTGACATGCAATATCATCTCAATTGCTGCAACTGTATTATGCTAAGCAATACCAACCTTAAATAGATAGTAATAGACGCGTTTTGTATCATGATCATCCTCTCTGTGCATTGACATGAAAATATTTTCAACATCCACTACTGCACCTAATAGACGGTTCACCTCTGATACTGCCAAACCTTGCAACTGGGTTACATGTTTTTCTGCAAAATGATAATATAAAATTATGTAAGTTATTATATTAAAATGCTCTTCCACATGGTTATATTATTAAAAATAACTATGAACTATCTATAAAAATAAATAAAATTGAAGTGTATGTAATGTCAAAAAACAGTTTTTTACTAAATGCTTAAGACAATATGTACATTGTCTGTCTGTTTGTACCAGCTAATCTTCAAAATGGCCGGACATATTGTGACGGGACTTTCACTGGCTTTTTTATGGCACTTTTAGATAATTTAAAATTAAAAACTTTGCACAACCAACTTCAATATAAATTATTAAGAATAACTCTAAAAGTATTGGTCAGACCTTGATCAAATTTATATGGGACCATATGAGAAGCACCAGCTTTTAAATGAAATAGAATCATCAAAATCGGTTCACCCACAAAAAGTTATGAGATAACATACATAAAAAAAACGTACAGTCGAATTGAGTACCTCCTCCTTTACTGACTTCATCAGTAGAAAATGAACTAGGGTTCTGCACAAAAAAAAAACTCTAAATTAAACGTGGGCAAAGTCACGAGGAACAGCTAGTAGATAATGTTTATCTAATCCTACCCCACAAGTGTTAAGGGTTACCAATGTCTTTTTTGATTTATAATGAAACAAATATCTGAGTTATGTCACCTTGGAATGCTATAATAATATTACTTTCAATAATACTCAATGTAGGCAGAGAACAAAATAGGCATGGAATAATGGTCAGACTACCTGGTTACCACATAGCGATTCCTGTGTTCAAACATGTTTCAACTGGTGCCAATATGTGTGTTAAAAATGCAAATTGTTTGGTGTTTGAATCTGGTTGGGATATGATAGTGATTTGGGTTCCAAGAAAGTCTAAATTGCTATAGATCATATAATTTAGCATGCTATGGAGCATGGTGCCCATTCAGATCTGTACTCTTTTATCAGCATAGCCTACCATCCGATTGTACCAAACTTGGCCTTCTCTTCACATTTATGTTTTGTGGGGTTTTATTTACTACTAGCTGATACCCGCGACTTCACTTATGTGTTATTTGGGGTTTTTTTGTGTGGTACCCTAATTCTTTTTCTAAAATAAAAGTAGCCTAAGTTACTCTTTGTGATATCAGCTATCTGCCAGTGAAAATCCCGTCAAAATTGGTCCAGCCGTTCCGGAGATTAGCCGGAACAAACAGACAGACAGACGGACAGACAGACAGACAATAAAACTTTAAAAATTGGAATTTTGTTATTAGTACCGTATATACTTTCATATGCATTTAGCAGAAAGTTGTAATTTTGACATTACAAACAGACACTTCAATTTTATTTATTTGTATAGATACTCTTGTTTTCCTTGTGTTTCTTCTAAAAATACTGTGTTTGGGATTGTCTGATTCGACAATAAAAGAGTTAATCTGAAAGGGGATAATAGTTCCATAAATCTTTCATAGCTTAAGATCGTGCCAAATCTCAAGATTCTAAGTCCGAAACCTACAAGTGGTCTAGTTTTTTGATGAATATAGTATTAACTCAAAAAGTTTAATGGGTATACTCATGAAATTTTGAATATTAGGTATTCAAGGAGCTTTTATTAGATATACAAAATTGCAATTATATAGGTCTAATAGTTCGAGGATGGCAACTGCAGTGTTTTTTATTATTACTGCATTCTTATCAGGAAGATGCTGCTGCCCATCTCTTGTTTTAGTTTTCCTCTATCAACTCTTACAACACTCATGAGATGATAAGACAGAATAAAGGAGAATGATGATTTTTATTGTTTTCTGTTGTGAATTTGGATAGTTAATTGTTAAAAAAAATTTAATTCATAGCAAAATGTGACAAACCTAAGATGTGGTTACAGTTGCGACAAGGATCAGTGAAGTTGGCTAATGGCTGACTATCTGATCTTGCATTAACTTTAGAAGCTTGTTGTGGTACAGGTGTCTTCCATCCATTACAAGTACAATCTGGTGTCTAAAAGAAATATATGTACATTTAATTAAATGTGTTGATATGAAGTACACTCAGCAAAGAAAGAAACTATTGTGAGAAAATCTACATGTTTGAGAGATTACAATAACAATTACAATTATTTTTCTTCTTCAAAATAAGAGCAGTCTACATATGTTGGTCCCTGTGCATAATATGCATGCATATAACTAACATTTTTTTAGGATAATCATAAAGATATCTTTTAATTTAAAGTAGTAATTGAAAAGCTTATCGAGTAATAGCTCAAATTACCATAAGCAATATAAACTATGTTTTTAATTCAACAGTTATTACCTTAGAAATTACTTACTTGACAAGCAGAATATATAGCCAATTTAAGTAGCTTCTTGTTATGGGGCCAGTTGTAAACTTGTTGCTTCCTTTGTTGAATGCGCTGTAAGTTGGACTGCCTTGAAGCCTGTCCTTCACTAGCCGACGGTGTAGCAGCATTACTAGAGGCCGCATCATCAGGAGTTGCACTTGATGTAGCTTAAAATATATGAAAGTTATTTCATGTTACAGTTTTTCAGCTCACAAAATTAAATCACATAAGAGTAGAAATTAATTTACTTAAAAATCTTTACTATTAGGTACCTAACTAATATAAAAACAATTTGTTTATTTATTTACCTTCATGAGCGTGTGATTGCGAAGAGTCCGCCTCTGTATTGGTCATTCCTATGTCACCTATGTCGTTTGTCATTTGAGACGTCATGCTGATTAGTCCACGACACTCACACTTTTAACCAGCTAAATCCATCAATACACTAATGTAAAATCAATAGCATTGAATTATTAATGAAAACTGAGCATCAATATAACAATTATACAAAAAATATTTAATTCTAATAACTATGTCAAAATTGACTCCTGTCAATTTTTAAACAAAATGGTGGTTAGTGTTGCCACTTGCCGGTCGCCAGTGTTGTTATCGTAAAAACTGAGCTGCCGTATATCACTGTCTGGTTTGCCGTATTTTAAGGAAAAAATACTAAATTGCCATATTTCATTTTTTATTTTAAAAATTTCTATTCTTCATTTATTTCTCCTTCTTAAAGGTTTATTTTTATATTTTGGACTAGCTGTTCCCCGCGACTTCATCCGCGTTTAATTTAGGGTTTTAATTTTTTTGCGCGGACCTCTAATTCTTTTTCTATAATAAAAGTAACCTAAGTTACTCCTTATGACATCAGCTACCTGCCAGTGAAAGTCCAGTTAAAATCGGTTCAGCCGTTTCGGAGATTAGCCGGATCAAACAGAAACAGACAAAAATTAAAAAAAAAATGTAGTTTTTTTTATTAATATCATACATACTATCATATGCGTTTAGTAAAAAGCTGTAATTTTGATATTACAAACAGACACTTCAATTTTATTTATTTGTATAGATGTTTGTCTCAAGTCGTCCTGAAGTTGAAACTTCACACGATAATTTATGGTCGCACACGGTGTATTTTGCTCTAAACTAGAGGTTCCCAAACTATTTTTTTTTCGTGGACCACTTTCAAAGTTAGTCACTTTCAAAACTCCTAAAACTATCACCCTAAATTGGGGGTGTTAAGAAGAAAAAAAAAGTAGCACATTTTCTTGTGTCCTATTTACTAAAATAATACTTGTGGTTATACAAAATTATAAACATTTATTATTACAAACAATCAACAATTGAAAAAAAATCAACAATGAACTCTGAAATGTAAATCAACAATAAAAAATAGTCATACTTTTAATGAGACGGATGTACTTGATGAATTGACAGCAAATTATCAATATTTGGCTTCAGTTTTGTAAGAAGTCCTTTCAAATATCCCCGTTCTGTGATGTTCAATCTACTCTTTTTTTTGTTAACAGGTTGGTAACGTCACTAAAACTTCTTTCGAGAAGATATGACGAGGGACACGCTATCAAAAATTTTCTCGCAATTTCCCACAGCCCAGGATATTTTTCGGGGATTTCTGCCTGCAGGCAGCCAAAATGTTTGATAACCTTTTTTAAATGTCACCTTCAGTTCCTAGTTGGTGCTGAGCTCAATTAGCTCCTCTTGTAATACCACATTCGTCTCTTCCGGTTCATTATATGGGGTTATGATGCATGGTGGTATTTTCATCGTCAGAATATCTACAAATCTATTTTTGAAGTCATCATGCAGGGTATTTAAATGTTCAGCGTATGTCTGAATATTCTCATAAAGACATTCTATCTGTGACAATTGCGGAAACTGGGAGAATTCGCGCCGAAAAATATTTTGTTTCATTAATTTCAATTTACCAAGAAAAGCTGAAATTACACCATTTATTTTATTAAGAGAGAATTTTCATGCAAAAAGCGATAAACTTTTCCTCCCCGTAAATGTAGTCCAATTTTAATAATTTTTGGAAATGTTGTAGATATGACAAAAACTGGGCCCGTACGTTTTAATTTTAAAGAAATATTGTATACAATATTAGTTATTAGCATCTAATTATCTATATTTTTAACTTAACTTCCTCGAGCGTTTTTTTTTATTAAACTAAACTGATTACTAAAAATGTAAAACGTACAGACATAGATGAAAGTGTACTGAATCTAATAAGACCAAAATTGTCTTATTTTATAAAGGTTTAGGGCTAGAAAAGTTATTGCCGGAAACAATATTTCAAAAAGAAAATGTAGGCAATTGTCTTCAAGACTTGCAACTCTCTCTATCGCACGATACGGGTCGGGGGCAGGGGCATATTGTAGTGATGTTAGAGCTGTTATCGATATTATTATCGCCTAGGGAGGAAAAATAATATCGATAACCTACAAAGATAATACCTCTCATGAAAAAGTTAATATCTGTGATTATTCGGTGTTTATCGATTATTTAGTAATTAATTTAAGGTCTTTATTGAATAAGGACATGTTCAAGTTTATAATAAAGTAGGTAGTCAAATAAATAAAAAAGTAACTTGAAGAAACTATTATTGTTTATATTACTTTATTACACTTTTTCTCGAACTGCCATTTTTCTAGGAACTCGAGGGTCAATAATTTCTGGTAATAAACATTAAAAATAAAATGAGTAAAGCCTTGGCTGCATTTTTGCTGTCCAAAAGTGGTCATAGTACTTATTTTTTCCTACGCCAAACCACATGGTTTATTAAATTAAGTACGAAAAGATGAAAAAGTTGTGTCCATACTACGAAAAAACAAACAAATTGCCTACCAGTGATATGTAATTATCCCTGAACCTGATAATAGTAATCATGGTTTCTTTTTTCTTTTTGTCCTTCTCGTATGAAACAAAATTTGATCTTTTTTAGTTATGGCCTCCAAATGTGGCATATTTGGAGCCATAACGAGAGGATTAGAAGCAAAAATAAGACATTTGATTTAATTTAGAGAATCGTCTCCAATAAGCCCATCAGAAGTTGTCCCTAAATAATAATCTTTGGAATCAATAAACAGTCCACACTCCCAAACTATTAGATTATGTTTCCTAATCTTGATTCTTTGCAAAATGTTAAATTAATGAAATTGCAATCGAAATATTAATTTTTTTATTTGCGATACATTCAAATAAATGATTTATTTCTACAATTCTTTGCCCGTACAACTTATCTGACTCAATCTTGACTAGCTCTGGTTCAATAATTAGCTCGACAGTTGAAGACGATAATACATACATATATATATATATATATAACGTATTCTTTTTATTACTTATTATTACTTCATCATTTCATCATTACAGCCCTTCACAAGTCCACTGCTGAACATAGGCCTCCCCCAAAGAATGCCACAAAGCACGGTCCTGAGCCACCTGCATCCATCGACTTCCTGCATGTCTTATCAGGTCGTCACTCCATCTCGTGGGGGGACGCCCTACACTTCGCCTACCGGTACGAGGCTGCCACTCGAGAACCTTTCTTCCCCATCGGTTGTCGGTTCTTCGAGCTATATGGCCGGCCCACTGCCACTTCAGCTTACTAATTCGTTGGGCTATGTCGGTTATTCTGGTTCTACTGCGGATATCCTCATTCCTAAGTTTATCACGCAGAGAAACTCCGAGCATAGCCCTCTCCATAGCTCGCTGAGCGACCTTGAGCTTCCTCATACGGCCAGCAGTGAAGGACCACGTCTCAGTTCCGTAAGTCATCACTGGCAACATGCACTGGTTGTACAATTTCGTTTTAAGATTTTGAGGTATGTCTGACGAGAATATGTGTCGTAGTTTCCCGAACGCTGCCCAGCCGAGTTGAATCCGTCGATTGACCTCTCGGTCGAAGTTTGACTTACCTAGTCGGACTATTTGTCCCAGTTAAACATACTCGTCAACAACTTCGAGCTTAGTGCTCCCAACAACTACCGGCATAGGTGTGACATGGACATTAAACATGATCTTTGTTTTGTCCATGTTCATCTTAAGACCTATCCGTTGGGAAACACTTTTGAGGTCATTGAGCATAGTGCTTAGGCCCTCCAGCGATTCTGCCATAAGGACTATATCGTCGGCAAATCGAAGGTGAGTGATGTACTCGCCATTGATGTTGATACCGTATCCTTTCCAGTCCAGAAGCTTGAAAACGTCTTCCAATGCAGCGGTGAAGAGTTTCGGGGATATGACGTCACCCTGTCTTACACCTCTCTGCAATTGGATAGGTTTCGTACTCTGGTTCTGTACTCGGATAGCCATCGTAGCCCTACTGTACAAGCACTTCAACACTTCGATATACCGACAGTCAACTTGGCACCGCTGAAGGGACTGCAGCACTGCCCAAATTTCGACGGAATCAAAGGCTTTCTCATAGTCCACATACGCCAGACATAGTGGCAAATTGTACTCTTCGGACTTCTGTACAACTTGCCGAAGGGTATGTATGTGGTCTATGGTGCTAAAGCCCTTTCGGAAACCGGTTTGTTCGGGAGGCTGGAAGTCGTCAAGTCTGCGCGCGAGTCGATTCGTAATGACTCTCGAAAACAGCACGTAGACGCGGCTCAGAAGGGAAATCGGTCTGTAGTTCTTCAAGAGAGCGTTGTCACCTTTCTTGAAGAAACAAGACCACCGCACTTCTGCTCCACGCCTCCGGTGTAATGCCACCATGGAGGACGGAATTAAAGAGCCTCTGAAGGACTTCAAGTACCGGTCTTCCACCCGCTTTCAGAAGCTTTAGATTATTACTTATTATTACTGTATTCTTTTTGATTCTCTTTGTCAGATTCGATTCCTTCGCCAATTGGAGTACCTACATCGTCCTTGCACATTACTGTCCGGTAATTATTTGTCTGTCTCGGAGTCACTGAAAAATGAATAGAATGATAATAGTTTAAATTATATTTTACGGCTGACTAACGCAGGCGAAGTCGTGGGTGAAAAGCTAGTTTACCCACATAATTCGGTTCATCGTTCGAATTTCTGTGAGAGCATAGACCCACTAGTGTTACAACTATACTACTGTTACGAGCTTGGGGTTCGAGATAATTAAAAACTGCCGAGTGAATTACCAAAATTGACTATTTAATTACACAACACTAATTACAACTTAAAATCACACTAATAATAAAACACAGTTCGCCGTTATTTCACTTCGAAGTATTCTCTTGTATCGCCAATTTAATACTGCTCCGGTCGTGGTCTATACCGGCCTTATATAGGGCCTCCTATAGTTTCCAGAACCTTCTACAATGTTCGAGTACATATCGGTCCCGAAATTTCTGGAAGGATCTCGACTCTCCTAGTTCTGCTACTCGACACTA